TTGCATTAGGTCTGTCTATTCCAAACCAATATGCTATTTATCACTACAATATATGACTTTTTATTTTATTTTTTTCATTACCGTTTATCCCATCTATGCTTGCTTCCTCCTCCATAACCTCTGTGCAATCACCCCATTGTCGTCCGTGTCCATGAGTTCTCTCTTCTTTTTCTTCTTTGATCAATCCCTCCACTGCCCCAACACCCCCTACCACTGCCCCCAGAGCTGTCTGCCTGCTTCTGTGAGTCTGTCTCTATTTTGCTTGGTAGTTTAGTTTGTTCATTAAATTTCACATATGAGTGAATATGAGACCGTATGATCCGAGGATACATTTGATAAGAGGTTACTATCCAAAATTTATAGAGAACTTGTGAAACTCAACACCAAAAATACCCAAACAATCTAATTTAAAAATGGGCATACAAATGGCCAAGAGACATATGAAAAAAATGCTCAGTGTCACTAATCATCAGAGAGATGCAAATTAAAATGACACTGAGGTATCACCTCACACCTGTCAGAATGGCCGCCATCAACAAATCATCAAACAACAAGAACTGGAGAGGGTGTGGAGAAAAGGGGACTCTAGTACATTGCTGGTGGGAATGCAGACTGGTGCAGCCACTATGGAAAACAATATGGTGTTTCCTCAAAAAATGAAAAATGGAACTGCCATTTGACCCAGTGATCCCACTTATAGGACTATATCCTAAGAAGCATGAGACACCAATCAGAAAGAGTATATACATCCCTATATTGATAGCTAAGATCTGGAAACAACCCAAGTGTCCATTGATAGATGAGTGGATACAAAAGCCATGGTACATTTACACAATGGAGTACTATGCAGCTGTAAGAAAGAGAGATCTCTTACCTGTTGAGATGATGTGGATGGACCTGGAGAGTATTATGCTAAGTGAAATAAGCAAGTCAGAGAAAGATAAGTACCATATCTCACTTATTTGTAGAACATAATGAACAAAATTAAGCTGATGAACAAAATAGATCAGAGACTTGGAAGTAGAGAACAGACTGACAATCCTCAGAGGGAATGGGGTTAAGGGTAAGAAGGGATAAACCAAAGAACTTATATGCATATATGCATAACCAATGGACACAGACAACAGTGCGGTGAAGGTGGGGATGGGGTGTGGGAGCAGGGAAGAGGGTGTCAATGGAGAAAAAAAGAAGGGACATCTGTAATACTTTCAACAATAAAGATAAGTTTTTAAAAAAAGACTCTTCATCTACAACAAATCAAAAAACAAAAATAAAATAAAAAATGGGCAGCTGACCTGAATAGATACTACTCCAAAGAGGACATACAGATGGCCAATAGACATGTGAAAAGATGCTCAAAGTCACTAATCATCAGAGAATTGCAAATTGAAACTAGAGGGGGATGTCACCTTACACCTGTCAGAATGGCCATCATCAATAAATCAACAAGCAACTGTTGGTGAGGATGTGGAGAAAAGGGAACCCTTGAGCACTGTTTGTGGGAATGCAGATTGGTGCAGCCATTGTGGAAAGCACTGTAGAGTTACCACAAAAAAATTAAAAATGGGACTGCTTTATGACTCAGTGATTCCACTTCTGGTAATTTATCCAGAGAAACCCAAAACACTAATTTGGAAGAATATATGCACCCCTTTGTTCATTGCAACATTGTTTACGATAGCCAATATTTGGAAGCAGCCCAAGTGTCTATCAGAAGATGAGTGGATAAAAAAGCTGTGGTATATTTACATAAAGGAATACTACTCTGCTATAAAATGAAAGAAAATTTAATCTTTTGGGACAGCATGGATAGACCTGGAGAACATTGTGCTAAGTGAAATAAGCCAGGCAAAGAAATACAAGTACCATATGATTTCACTCATATGCAATATATGACTTTCATCTATAATTCAGGATAAGGGCATTGCTACAGTCATGTCCAATTGGCGGTACTATGGTTCCCTGTAATGCTCAGCAGAAGTGTGGAATAACTTTTAATGTAATTCTTTTATTTATTTTTTCATTATGGCCTAGCTAGAAAGCCGTCCCTTTTTCCAGTAACTTCTATAAAACTTAGTATGCATCAACATGTAAAATTTGCATCATGCTTCTTGATATAGATATTTTTGTTTAGAAATTTTCCATAATGCAGTCTTAATAAAGGTAGTGAATTCTACATGCGTGGAACAATAACCTGTTTAGAATATAATCTTGACATTTCCTTTAGCGATCTATGTAAACAATTTTCAGCACTCTTAAAGGCATAAATTCTATGATGAACCATGATAATATTTATGGTTAGAAAATATATTTGAAAGCAATTATTTTAATTGGCTAAAGAAGTACAGTTGCTGAAAACATTAAATAAAATAATCACCTAGTACAGTATCTGGAACAAAGCAGGTATTCAAGTAGTTATTAATTAAATAAAACAATTTGAAATATTAGTCAAAGTAAAAGTAATTCCTCTTCCCTTCTCCATTCACTATGGCTGGCTTCCCCAAGCACATGTCACATGTTTATGCTACAAGAGTGGATTGTTCTATACATCATTCTGTACTTGTTTTTGTATATTTTTTGTTTATTGCTTGTTTATGTGTGGTTTTTGGTTGCTTTTCCTTAACAGTATAGTGTGAACTTTCTTTCTTTCTTTTTTTATTACATATAGTTCTGCTTTATTTATTTATTTATTTGTTTATCCTCATCTGAGGACATTTTTGCATTTTTCTTCAGATAAAGCCGGAGGGAGAGTGGGAGGAACAGAGAGAGAAACATCGACGTGAGAGGGACACATCGAGTGGATGCCACCCACACGACCTAAACCAGGGCCAGGGACAAACTGCAACTGAGGTACGTGCCCTTAGCGCGACCCAAACCCAGGACTCTCTGGTCCATGGGCCGACACTCTAACCACTGAGCCAGACCAACCAGGGCTAGTTCTGCTTTATTTTTGAAAGCATTGCATCACAGTCTGTGCTATGAGTATACCACTATTTAACCAGTCTCGTTCTGATGACTGTTCAGATTGACTTCATTTTCATTGCTAATATAAGTAATGCTATTACAAAATGCTGTAATTGTCTTCATTTGCTTGAGTGATAATAGTCATAGACTAGACCCCTTGAAATGCAATTCCTGATTCATATAGATGAATGCATACTTAAAATTTTTGACAGATTTTAGAGGCATTTAAAAAACCAAATGTCTCTATGAAAGGTTGCAACAGTTTATATTCACACCAAATTTATGAGAGTTTCTTTCTCCCCATACTCGCACTGATTCTGGGCGTGAAAAAAATCTTTAAAGTTTTCTGATGAGATAAATTTCTCATAAACTAGAAAGTATTTTCCATATTCCCAGATTCATGTAAAGTAATATAACAAGAATACTGAAGAGGTAGAATATATAGTACTTACTTTCATATTTTTATTCTTATTAGGGAAAGACTTCCTAGTAAGGATTCCTAGTTACATAGCAGTTTGTAAATACAAAATATTGTATATATAACATCCAGGGTAAAACTGAAGGACTCAAATATTGAGCACTTTCAGAACCCAACAGGCAAAGCAATCGATATGGCTGAATTTGTCTAGTAAGAGGTTCTAGTCATCATTATGAAAAGTACGTGGGGTCTAGGGTAGGTGGAGAAAAGACATACATTTCAGAAGCATGTCTGATGTTAGAAATAAATGAACTTGTGTGGCTTATATACTGTTTTTATACAGGATTTTATTTCTGTTGCCACAGACATGCTGTCATTCACCAGTAAACTTGTGTGAAGATGATAATAGAGCAGCTTGTCTGGTAACTTAAATATGGGTTTCAAAACTTCAGTATACACATTTTCGGCACTGACCTTGTATTAATTTGTATGAATGCAGGAGGGAAGTCAGAGGCATTGGAGGCTGCTACTAGCTATAAATGAGAGCTTAGGTGACAGGCAACCAACAGGCAAAGGGCACATTTTAGCCCCAAGCCATGGCTGCTGAGGCATCTCAGAAGCAGCTATGACACGTCTTTGTTGATGAGTGCCTAAAAGCAGATGACAATAAAAAAAACCCAAGAACTATTAACCATGTGGAGAAACACAATCACAGGCAGCTACTTAATGCAAACAGTATGTTTGGGGAAGGGGGAGAATTATACCTAGGAGTCATTATTTTTGATGGAAGACTTTTTTAAAAAGTGTATTGCCCAACTGGTGTAACTCAGTTGGTTGGATGTCACCCTGTGCACCAAGAGGTGGCCGATTTGATTCCCGGTTAGGGCACGTGCCTGGGTTGTGAACTTGATACCCCATGGAGGGTGTGCTGGAAGCAGCTGATTAATGGTTCTCGCTCATCGAGGTTTCTATTTCTCTCTCTGTCTCCCTTCCTCTCTCTATAAATAATAACATATTTAAAAGTAAAATAAAATAAAATGCATCAAAATTCCGAGGAAAATTTTAGTGGGAGGTGCCAAGAGAAAAACATAAAGTTGTTCCTCTACTCAGGCACCAAACAAATCAGCACAAGAAACATATCATAAAGAGGACAGGTACCCTGAACGCCAAGAAAAATCATGCATGAATAAGAAAATAGCTTCCATAATCAAAATTTTATATCTTGCAAACATCGATCGGTCCCAATTGGGAAAAGGGACATATGCAATGTGATGGTGAGATGATTTAATATTGAATCATTCATAAGCAGTTCAATATATGTATATATTTAGTGTTTGATATACATATATATAATATTTGATATGTCTCATCACTTATATTCTCTCTAATGAAGTGTCGATATATTATGTATTTACTTTCTGAGACTGATTATCAGCTGCTCAAGGCCAGTGTATGAATTCTTCAGCCTTCCTTTGAGGAATGTATAACTATCTCCTTTCAAGAATTCATCTATACTTTCTTGTTCTTCTGGGATTTACACTCCAAACGTGATTAGACCTGGAATACACTCCAAATGGCATAAAAATCCCTGGTCAAAGGATGCTTCTTTATCTTTTAGGATTCTGCTGAAGTGGCAAAGAGTAATGCACTTTAGTTTTGTTTTTATTGAGGATCTACTATGTTGAGGATGCATGTCACTTCAGAAGACACAAATAAACAAGGTATGGTATTTGCCCTCAAATTAGATAAAATCAAACTGAGGCAAACCAAATGCTTCTGTAAACAAATATAAAACTTAACACAGGCTGTGATTCAGTGCCAGAAATATGTGGTGCCCTGTTATTACTTTAGGTGTGTTAGAAAGGTAGACACACACTCAATTTTGATTTCTGAAAATTAAGAGACTTGTGAGTAGTCAAATGTAGCTAATAGAGTTCTAAGATCCTATACAATTAGCATTTTTAAAGAACATTACATTTTTAAAGTACAGGAAATAAAATTAATGACAGAAAGGCATGAAGAACATGTCAAAAGAGAATATGACATGTCTGGGGCAGAATGAGGTCACACACCCAGGTCTCTGAATTCCTAGTTCCACACAAATACACTAATTAATATTTTTAAAACATACTACAGTTGTTATTGTTGTATTTGCTTTATTTTGAGCCTGTGATATCAAAATCTAGCAGATTAAAGGAGAAATATCCACCTAATAGGCAGACAGGAGACAGGTTGGGTCTGCATTCCTGGTGCCTGTCTAGTTCTACCACTCCCTGTGGGGCAGAGGGCAAGAGACAAACTGCCCAGTGCATTTCATTTACAAATTTGGGATAATAACAATCCCAGCTCATAGTTTTGTTGGGGGATACAATGAAAATGTAAGTAAATAATTTATAACAAGGTCTGGTATGGAGTAATCTCTCAGTGAGCTATTAATATTATTCTTATCAGTATAGTCTTCTAGCCACTAAGCTTTCACCAACTGCAGGTCTGTGACTATAAATAGGAGAACATAATGTAAAACAGTGATTTTCCTCCAAAACCTGTGGCAACGTTTACTTCTTATTCAGATTAGAAAGCAGAAGTCTGCAGTTTTAGAATTGCAGATAAGCTTTACAGACTGTAAATCATCTAGAATGGGATGGCTTGGCTAACCCTCAACTTTAGCAAGCCTTTTTGACTCATTTTTCCATTTGTAATTCTGCTGTGTCAGCTATATCATTTACTTTTTTCCTTCTTTATATCAAAATGTAGGGGTCTATTTAATTTTGTGCCGTGAAACCAAAAATGGTATGGAAGAAAATGAGATATAACTACTCTCAGTATTCTCCTATTCCTGGTATTTTCCTTAAAAAAAAATCCATCTTTTGGAAAATGAATATTTTTATCTATGTATCACCCACTAAAACCCTTGTCTTCCTTTAACATTTTCTGAATTAGACTGTGCAAACCAACCACTTTTCACTGATTTCTTCCCATGATTGCTTACTAGGCATACACTCTTTCAAAAGACTTGGATTGCCTTAAAAAAAATTTTTTTTTTCTTTATTAATTTTAAAGAGAGAGGAAGTAAGAGGGAGAGAGAGACAGAAACATCAGTGAGAGAGAACATTGATTGGCTGCCTCCTGCACGCCCCCTGGTGGGGATCAGGCCTACAACCTTGGCATGTGTCCTGACCGGAAATCGAACCAGCAACCTCTTGGTGTATGTCTCAACCACTGAGCCACACCAGCCAAACAAGACTTGTCTTGTCTTTGTTCTCCCTTTGTTCCCTTTTGGTGTCTCCATCCTCCAGGACCACAAGACTTCACTATACTCTTGTCTTCTGCATGGACCCTCTGGGATCTGGCTTACTCAGCCTGGGCCATCCCTCCTGTCCCTTTCCTTTAGACTCTGAAAGTTTCCTCTTGCTCTAATCGAGTCATCATTCCTCACTGATGAAAAGGCTTTACATTTCAGGGCTTTGTTTTGAAGATGCATCTTGGAGCACTGCAGCAGATGAGTGAGGTAGACAGTCTTTGGCACATGGGTCTTTAAGTTTCTCTGGTCACACTGCGTAGAGCTGCATGATTTCCATCTACTCCACTTCTTTCTAGCACCATCTTTAGCCTCATACAGAACTATGAAACTGTGCTGTGTTGGTGACACTATACCTTTTCTCTACATAAATTTGGAATACTTTAGAAATATCTAAAACAATAGGACCTAGAGATATTAGAGATCAAATTAAAGAAATTTTAAAGAAATTCCTTGTATACTTTTAGGTGAAATGTATATAAGATGCCCATTAGATCTTAGCTAGTAAGTAATCCTAGATCTTATTTCTCTGTGTGATCTTCCATCTTCCTCGTTAAACAAGTACAGTGTCATATCTGTGCTACATTTCAAGCCTAGTGTGTCTTCCCAGCGCTACAAGTAAAACCTCTCCATCAATCAAGTTTAAATGTTATTCTTTGAGGGAAGCTTTTTCCATTTTTGAAGGATAGCCTAAAGACCTCCACGGCATTTTTTAGTATCTCTCTTTTAAGATCTAACACACCTACTGTAATTATATATACATGTACTTGCTTCAACAATAGGACTCTGATGGGTATTTTTCCCCCCATTTCTTGAACAGAACTTGATTCAGATTAAATACTTAACTAATGTTTTATAATAGAATAATGCTTCAAGGGTACCATTGGGGCTTCTTTTTTATATAGATTGACATTTTAGTGTTTTTTACATTACTTTCCCCAGGAAACAAATAATAAATAAACTGTTTTGCACAGGGGTCTGCGATTATCATACACAAATTTAAAGGGGAATTGCAATTATAATTAGAGATGAAAATAAGAATTTTAGACCTTAGGAGGAAAGTTAACAAAAAGTCTAGAGGAATGTCAATCCACATACCTGAGTTTCAGTCTTTGTTTTGCTGCTAAGTGAATCCTTTGGAACCAGAAGTTAAATACCTTGTATAAATTAAGACATTTTAAATTGTGAATAACAGAGAACTTAACTCAAACTGACTTAAATCACAAAGGAAAATTTCCTATTCATGTAAGTGAAGGCTTTGATGAGGAGTTATTCAGAGGCTTAAAATGTCAAAAGAGACTCGTCTGTTCAGTCATTTTACTTCTAACTTTCAGTATGATAGTTCTCATCAGTGTTTTAGGGTAGTTCCCATCAGCAGCCTCTGCTATCTGCATCTTTGTTCACATTTCTTCTCTTAATCAATAGATTCTTATGCTTTACTTTGATTAGTTCAACTTGAGTCATGTGCCAACTGTCAACCTCTGAAACAATCAATGTGGTGGATTGAGACAGATCAATAAATTTACACTTCATACACACACACACACACACACACACACACAATTATATATATATTTGATTGGCTTGTACCATCAGGGCCCTCACTTGGAGCTGGGTGTATGGGTTAATTCTACTCAAACTCTATGGTTACTACAGAATGGCCAGACCTGGAAATAGATGTACAAGCTACTGCCATCACCACATGACCATAATATTCCCATATCATTTTTAAATGCTATGATCTGTAAAAATGTAATAAAATAGAAAGAATTACATATTTTATATTCACGTACATAAAAAATGTCTTCTTTAATTCTTTCATACTAAATATGGAGCAGCCAAAATCATTAAGTATCTGAGAATTATTGCAAGTCTTGAAAATTAGAATGCCCATTACTTCTCAGGATGTTTTTCTCTCTCTTTCTCCTTCCTCTCTCTCTAAAATAAATTTTTTTTAAAAGGGGTGAGGACCTGAATAGACATTTCTCCAAAAAGGACATACAGATGGCCAACAGGCACATAAAAAGATGCTCAACATCTCTAATCATCAGGAAAATGCAAATCAAAACCATAGTGAGTAATCATCTCACACCTGTCAGAATGGCTGCTATCAGGTGCAGGCTGAGGAAAGAGAATGCTAGACCTCGCAGTCATTACTTCATAAAATAGAAGCTCTGAAATACAGAGAGGGGGACCTGAACAATACCGACAGCTTGATTCTTCTGAAGAGATGCTGAATCCTCGACCAGGAGCTGAGGGGAGAGGGAGCCCTGTGTTCTTGGCTGCATCTGGTTAGTGTGAAGTTCCTGTCTTGTGTCTGAGAAATGGACGGAAGGAGCCACCATGGCTCAAATGCCCAGACTTTCACTCTTAGTGATATTTAACAGAATTTTCTTAAATAGCCGTTTTTTTGTTTTTCATTTGCTCTATCTCCTAGGACAATTTTCAGAGATTTTACATGGTTATTTATAATTTCACCAGTTATGGATTTTTGCTGGGGAGAAGATCCAGGGAGCACCTCAGTCTTGTTCTGGAAGTTCCCCTTTTACTTGTAAGTCCGGGTCTTCCTTCTCTCCAGCTTTCTATGCATTAGCTGGTGAGACTGTTATCAGGTGTTTGAACAGTATGGGGAAAAGAGGAAAATGAAATCAGATGACTATTGCTGAGTTTGATGGAAGTTCTAAAAAATATCATGAAAGGCTGAGAGCAATTACGTGGCAATTAGAAGTGTGAAAGCCAGAGGGCCTCCTTGGCAGCCATGACAGCTTATGTATAGACTTTTCTGTATGGATGATCTCTCTACTGGTGTAAGAGGAATGTTGAACTTCCCCTTCCCCCTGCCACATACACACTCACACACACTATTATTGTCAATCTTTTTCTTTATGTCTGTTAATATTTACTTTATGTATTTAGGTGCCCCTATGTTGGATGCATAGATGTTTACCAGTGTTATATCCTCTAGTTAGATCGATCTCTGCATCATTATGCAAAAACACTTCTTTGCCTCTTGTTGCAGTCTTTGTGTGAGGTCTATATTGTCTGATGTAAGTTGTTACCCCAGGCTTATGTTTCCATTTACATGAAATATATTTTTCTACCCCTTTATTTTCAGTCTGCATGTCTTTCAATCTGAAGTATGTCGCTTGCCTGCAGCATATGCACAGATCTTGCATTTTTATCCATTCAGCCACTTAGTGTTCTTCGATTGAAATATTTAGTCCATTTATATTTAAAAAAATTATTGATAGGTATATAGCTATTGCTGTTTTAGTAATCATTTAGTAATCATTTCCTAAATAGTCTCTTGTGCATTGATGGCTTTCTTTAATGGTTTGTTTGGGTTCCTTTCTCTTTATGTTTTGTGTCTCTATTATATGTTTTTCATTTGTGGCTACCATGAAATTCATGCATAATCTATGTTTA